AACATAGGTGGAAACTTTGCGCAAGAATGTTCGGTTCCCCTGTACATCATTCACACAGCAGCTCGATCAAACTACCAATAAGACGCGCAAAAAGAACAAAACCAGAATTATCCATTCTTCCCACTTCTCCAACTTCTCATGATGTTAAAATGCGAAAGAGGAAGAACGATTTACCCTGGCTACGCGTTCTAGCCGACTGACCGTGGGCGCTGTTTGTTGACTGTTCGCAGGTTGGGAATCAGCAATATGAGCTGGGCGAACCATTAGTGGGTGCACTCCGGCGCTGGAAGGTTCTCGTCGAGCACCACGATGCTCCCTACAACTTAAATTTCGGTACAGGAAGGAGCAATGCAAACGTTAACAAAAACCTGTTGATCCCAATGGGAGGTCCGAATATGAAATCATCAAATCCGAGTGATGGCATATCTGGACGATCGAGCAATTCAAACGATAAATCATGGAGCTGAATTATTCATAAACATTTTTCAAACAACATCACTAGCAAAAGCAAAATGTACCGCATCTTCATCCTCCTCAGGATAATCGTACATCTCCTCGTCATCGTCCTCTTCTTCCTCTTCACCATCCTCACCACTTTCTTCCGCATCAACTCTTACAGTTGCTTGCGCTTCACCCTCTCTTCTTCCGTCCTCATCATCCTCTTCCTCTTCTTCGTCCTGTTCTTCACCGTCCATAGTGTCATCTTCTTCTCGATCATCACCTTCCTCGTCTTCTACTGTGCGCTCCTCGTTGTCTTCTTCACCGGAAGACATGGAGTCCTCGACCGCTTCTTCATCCATTTCTTCGTCCATGATTTCACGATGATGGTCATTTTCTTGAGGATGGTCATCGCGATGTCCGAAGTTTTCGCCAGAACGGACATAGGCCTAAAGTTTGTAATTGCGTAGCTTCCTTGAGACAAGAAAATCTCTGTCTTTGAGACTAAGACTTTTTGAGACATATGCTGTTGTGTTATTTTACTAAGTCCTACATTATAAGTTCTTATTTTTCAATCATTAGAGCTAAAGAATGAAGGCTAAGCTAGAAAGGGAATATGAAAATAAAGACAGCAGTGATCGAACTTGAATTTTTTGAGCATTTACTGATTGAGGACTTGACAAAAAACTTAAAGGTTTTTTCGTATAGTACCTAAATCTAGCATTGAAGAAGTTATATTCTTTTCTATCTACAATACTCTCAAAAGTCTAATAAGACTCAAATCTACATTTTATTTCATGAAACAGGTCTCAGTCGCGACGGATGGACTTATACAAATTACCTACTTCATAAAATTAATTCGTTACTCCAGCCGTCACGATGAAACCTATAAATTCCTACAAATAGCTTTGAGAAAAAGGCTGAAATGATACAAATCATCTAGATGAAGATTTATGCATGACAGACAACCTAAACTATACTCACTTGAACGCCTCGATCATCCTGATCTTCTCCCATTTCATTGGAATCGTTAAGGAGATTGTTGCCAAATATCTCTCTAAGGTCAATGGCTCGACTCAAAGCATTATCACGGCTATTGCTCGGTGATGGGATTCTTACAGCGTCAGCGACAGCCGCGTTTATCACTGCCTGAACCCAACAATTAGTAACGGAACGTAGTATAGGCCCTTCTAAACAGCTCGATCGCCCGCCCACTTTCATCTACAATCAGCGAAGATCGATGAAGATCAGCGCGTAGAAGGACCCGACGTTTTCCAAAGAAATAAGTAATTAGTTAGATAAGTCCTAGAGAGATGTATTAATTCTCTAGTGCCAAGTTCTAATCGGCGCTTTGCAACTCATAGATGCGCAAATCGAGATCAAGATATGGATTCACACACCTGTACTCGCATTTCACGAAATGATACAGTGAATAAGGTTTTTGATTTAGGGGGCTACGCCTTACTTCCCCTTTTGATATCACTACCACATTTAAAAAATATATGTGGGTAGTGATATCAAAAGTTCATTCACTACCTTAACCTCGTCAAAATCTCTTTTTAATGGAGACATTGGAAGTCAACGCTGGAGGGGATCCCTATTGCTTGCCCTAACGGAAAGCGGCAAGGCATCAGGCGTACTACTTAAAGTGAACTTATGAATAACACTGACATGTTTCTACGTGTTCAAAGGCCATCCTTATAACCTAGAAAGGTCATCTGAATTTTGAACCTTTGCGCGTTAGAAACTTTGATTTTTCCTATTACCGAAAGCGGAAAACGGGGGAAACATGGACGAAAACAGGGACATTTATGTGATTGCGAGAGTGGTTGCGTAAGATATATGATAGTGTTTCAAAGGTTCAAGTCAACTTGAAATTAGAGTCATTCCCCTAATATTCAAATGAGAAACGACTTTGAAAGAAGTCATTTCTGCATGCTTCCTTTAAATTTTTCCTCTAATCATGATTGCTGAGCGCGGTTGCCCACGTTTTACAGCGCAACATTGCGAGCGGAATGATTTTGAGTTTAGCCGCAAAATCTTGAAAAGGTCATAAAAAGAAATACAAATTTCTTGATGCGTCCTTCAAAATAGGTCGCTGGATATTCAACTAGAAATCAAAGGAAATAGAAAACGCTGTTTTTCTTACTTCATTCACTCAGACTAACAATTGAATGTTGCGCAGCTATCTGTTCAAATGCGTCTCAAGACTTTCGTAATGATGTACGATTGGCTTATATCATTCTGGAAGACGCGTGGTCCGCATTTTTGCACTTTTGAGGGGCGGCAGAGAACGACCGAAGATAACGGGGCAGCTCTGTTGGGTTATCCCGGTACTCAAGAAAATTCTCCCATCACCCATACATCATTCTGCTCAGAATCGTATGGAGAATCTCGCTGACAACTGCGCAGCTTTCATAAGTTTCATCGTAAATTA